TTATACTTAGACTTCAATTTAAATTTTGAAGGGGTCTTTTGGTCGTTTTGGACAGTTTAGGGAGTTTGTACAAGTTTAAAAGATTGTTTTGGAGTTTTCTTCTTGCCCTTTAGAGATTGATGATGTATTGATTACAATTTACTATGTGATGGTTTTCAGGGCTAAAAGCAAGGCTTTAACAATTTTGAATTTAATTCTGACCCCAATTTTCATATTTGATGATGCAGATTGCATGCATCATCATTAACTTGAGGAAAGAATTTCTATTTGAATTAACATAAGGTAACTTTGTTTCACCTACACTATTCCAAATCATTTCAAACTATTCCAAATCATTTCAAATTATTTTCCAAGATCTACATATAGCATTGATGTACTCGAACATGCATCATCTTCAAAGTGGCAAGAGAAAACAACATCATGCATTTCCAACGCCTAAAGTCTCGCCCTTTGAATTACTTTAATCATGAGAACTTCTTCGCATTTTCTCTCATGATTTACCCCCCATCATCCTCACATTGTTAGGGAATAGTAACCATACTCTTTGTTGGAAATCTAGGAGGGGTAATAAAGCTGTGTAGCAGCATTACATAGAACGGTATACGAATGAACGTGAAAAAAAGTGATAAACTAAATGAATCGCGTGATCACTTTCACATTAAAGTTATTTCATGGTACACCAAATTAAAATTCTTCTATCAGATAAGACGTTTATATCTAGGAGTATGGAAGATCTATCATTATTCATTACTTAAACATACCCTGGGCTCCACATTTATAGAGCACAAACAGATCGGGCGTATCTCTTGACAAAACAACACAACTTTACGCAAAACATTCTAATGTATGCCCACAACATTCCAATTCCAATGTAGGGAGCACTTGTGTTAAACATACCATTTCAGTAGTTTTATGCACAAACCCTGACATATTATCACGAAACGCTCAAATCTTTAAAGGTAAACATTCAAATGTATAATGTCTTTTAGTAAGGAACCCTGGAGATGAATATTGCATTCGAATGTTTAGTTTCGAATGCACATTATTTTGAACTCTATTCACGAAAATCCAAAACATTTTTGTAAAACAATAATTTCCAAAATAAAATTTTCCCGGGCTGATCTGGAAGCTCAACGGACTCAACCCTTGGGCTATGCTAGGGCCTTCCGCGCCTTGGACCCCGATACAAAATTAGTAATATCGTGGAACGAGCACGCATTCCACACCACCCCACTCGTTAACAACATCTATTAAAGCTTTCATCCGACCTAAGTAAATCCAATTACAGAAACTAGATGATGACACTAAAATCACCAACACAAAGCACCAACATTTTTTCAATACATAGCAAAAAAACACTATACTTTGAAATGATTTTGCATAACACAGAAACATCTATATGTAAATTAAATCGTTAATCTTTAGTAAACTGAATAAGCAACCTGAGTTTGAAAATCATGTGTATGGGTCAATACTCCATATTATGTTCTGATGACAATCAATCAAAATTCCATGAATTTTTTTATATGTACGAATGAAACACTATGTTTAAGAAAACCTTAGTGTTTAAGAAAACCTATATAACCCCAATATGGTTATATAGGTTAAGTGCAAAAACGAAACAAATAAAACAAAGCAGAGAGAAACAAGGGACATATAGTAAATTGAAAGAGCAAAAGTAACTGTGTTTCACTCCCATGCCCTTCATGCAAATTCTCTGTAGTGTATCCTCAAGAATAAGGTGTGGGGGAAGGGAAAAAAAAGAACCGATCACAATATTGAGGTGACCCGAACAGATTGATCTGCCGATCCAGTCAAAAAAACAGGCAGCGTTGGATGCCAATCCACAGTTGTTATAGATGCACTGTGAGGTAGAGTTCTCATCCCACCACCCATGCCGCGTCCAACCTGATAACACAATTTATTAATTAATGATACAGAGTATGTACTAATAACAAGAGAGTCGAGTGATTCTTCATCACACCTGATAAATAGGTGCTCTTAGTGAATTTGATGAGATCAGGAGTTGATTCCCATTGCCATCTAAGGCCATTTCTTGCTTATACATCATATCACTTTGAAGGTTGCAGAACCTAAGATTGAGAAGATCAATCGGGTTATTAGTGAGTGAACTAAAAGGATCTCCAAAGATCTCCACAAAGCATGGGATGGAACAATTTCAATACCTGTTGCAATTTCTCGACCAGAGTACTCTACCTTGGTTCTGCAAACTCCACTCGAACATCTGTCATGCCATCCCGATTGTGATTGTTTAGATATTTTACAGCTGTTTATTACGTATATTATTCATAAAAGAAATATGTACTAGTTGATGACTGGAACAAGAATTGAACTCAGTCTTGCCTTTCCATCTTCACCCAGAGTGAAGATGCTTGTCTCATCAGACCCAAATAAAACAGAACTAATTGCAGAATCATGTGCTGGCCACCCAGTGATTTGCAGACCAGCAGACATATCTTTCCATTGTTAAAGTTTTACACTCGTCATGCATAAATGTCAATACACAACGTAGCAAAATTGTTATGATTAATATCTGAGTAGGATACCAAACATATGAATCATTCCATCTGTGGCTGCTGCTGCTAAGAGCTTTCCATTGTGATTAAAACATAACGAAGTAATGGCAGGTGGATCTTCACCGAGAGGAAGGACTGTCTAAAGTTGTGAGAAAGTAAGGCTCGACAACTGTTATCCGCAAAGCAAAAAAGATAATGAAGAAGGCCTCTTCACCAGCATTCAAATTCCTAAGACAAGCAGACACATACCATGGATTTCCATGTCCTCATGTTCCAAACTGTTAACGAAGCATGCCCTAATTTGCCGAAATACACAGAACCAGGCCTGCAAGAAGAATAATGGTACTCCGTATTAGTTTTCACCTTTGCAAATGAAATCGGATAGCTACTGCCTACTGCAAAGTCAATCATTACACGATTAAACAGGGATACAATTCAGACATCAGGTGGGCAACACAAATAGTTCACAGATTGTTCCAGCAGTGGTAAGGTATTTTGTGGGATTGGCAGAAGCTGATATTTGGTTTGGCTTCTATTCCACATGTCCCGATTGCCACCAAAGCCCATCCTTCTTAGGTGAGAAGTTCAATCATACAAATGTCTCTATACATTCCTCTTCAATTTTTCATTTTACTTTTCAGCAAACAAAAGTATGGAAACTTAATCCTCAAGCACTGTATAGCTTTAATAGGAACCAAGCGATGGAATAGTAAACCTAAATTCCAAGTTAACTCTACTCCATTCCAATCCGGGATTAATTTTTATGACTTTCATTCCTTTTTTCATTCCATAAAACAGATAAACCCATATTTGAAAATACTTCTTAATACTTTATTACAGTTTTTATTACTGTATTGGACAATTCATCTCAGTTTAATTGATTTTACAGATTACGGGGGTCGTCACATACACACCCTAAAGACGTTGTAGGATAGGCCCATCGCCGTGTGGGTGGGTCTTGTGATGATAATGGTTAATGATTAGAGAACAAGGATTTTGGATTACACTCAGATGTTAGTTTGTATGGAAAGGCTTATTCGTTATTACAAAGTCATGCAGTGATGACACACCTAATCAACCAATGATTGACTATTGATTATGTCATGCATGCTTAATCACGTGGCAAGTTGATTTTGAAATGCATTTCTGTATGAATTCGTCTATTTCCAATAATGGTAAAAGAGTCATTCTGGTAATGCTTTAGCTACAGATAAATAAAATCAAATGAGACATTGAACTTCCCCCTTCTTACTTCCTATGATGTTCTGGGTAGCATATGCAGGAATGCATTAGGGGTCTTACGGAAACAAGATCTCTCTGTTTTGTTTTACAGGGGTAAGGATGCAAATATCTTCAGCACCCCCCCCCCCCTCCCCAAAAAAAAAACAAAAAAAGTTTATAGTGGGATTCTTCTTCTTGTTGTTAGAGTTAAGTATTAAAGCAGCAAATCCATTTTTGAACTGGACAGATTTTTTGACTGAAAGATTTTAGGACTCCTATTTTGGGTAGGCTATTTATATATAATTTTCTTAATGAAAACCAGTTTTCAATGTTGTACACCATTTAGACATTAGGTATTTTGGACCAAAAAAAACTGCTGGTGGTTCTTATTAAAAACTAACAACCGGAGTTTTTTTCTCTTAAACTATAATTCTTTTGCATCCAGATTGATTTATATCTTATTGTTCGTTGTTTTCTCTGTATCCTGTAAACATGAGAGACTAAATCGTTGTAGGGTTTTGGGTTTGTTGTGAGAACTTATCTATAATAGTGTTATTAATTATTACGGTACTGCCCTCATCCCAAAAAGTAGTCCTAAATTAAAAGCCATGTTATAATAGATTTGGTATGGCATAAGTGTCGAACTAACATAAATCATGAACCCAACTTACTCTCTATGTCTGGATTTAGGTGTCTATGTTCTTGTTTTTGTTTCTCCACAATCAGTTGTCCACTTTCCATATTCAATAAAGAAATTATGATGAATTGTCTTATATATCTTATGGATAAGGTATGAAAATTGTTGATATGAATGGGTGACTAACTATTTTTTTAAACACATTTCCTAAAAATGTGATTCTTTTAGAAAGTGAACTAATCCCGGATGGAGAGAGTAACTTTTTAGGTTTATTAGCTTTGCTAAATCAAATAGGACAGATGAGAGTATATGGTCATATGTCTTTATTCGCCTCACTGTGTATGTGCTCATGACACATTTGCATGAAGCCTTGATCATGCCTTATGCAATTATTTCATAAGATGATAGATGATTTTGATCCAAACACTTTGCCTAGACATTCAACTTTCCCTGGCAGCCTAGGCTTTCTTTACGGCTTTACGCCGCCTATACATCACCTGAGTACCTGACCTTGCACATAATACACCTTCCACTACTTAGAACAATGATTAAATCACAAGTGAACCTAACATTAGACAACCACATAACACTTCCAATTTTCATCATGTGATTAGAAGACTTCTACAGAAGGCTGATCCTTATTTACCCTTTGATGATTCCTAGAGTTCACCAGGTTAATTTGTTTGGCTTATCATAGAAGCAATTCTTCATGCTAGGCTATATAATATATAACTCATAACCCTTGGGTGGCTTTGAGATAACTGATTCGCATATATAAAACCATTATGCTGTTCTTTACCGATTTGTCTTCTATCTATTTCGTATATTCAATCGTTATTTTTAATTTATTTGCTTAATTCATATCTATCTTCCTCTTATCTTAATAATTAGACCTAGAAGAGCCATTAATAGCTGTCATAAACAAATGGGGAACAAATGTTTACATAGTTTACCTTGTAGATGCTGCCGCAGACACAAAAATGGGCTCCACGGGACTACATTTTAGGTCCAGCACACTGGATAGTAGAAAAATAAATAAACAAATAATAAAGATAAGAGTTACCAAAGACACAAGTTTACACAAGTCTAACGGTGCTAGTAGTACAGGAGGAAGTGGAAAGACAACGAAAAAACAGTAAATGCAGGGATCATTTTAAAAACCTTGTGAATTCTGTAGTGCCTTTAAGATCACAGACAACACGCTTTGCATCAGCATTCCATGCTTTTATGCCTCCATCAGCTGTACCTATGAGGAGCTTATTTGGTGAAACATATTGCATTAAAAAAAGGATCAGCCTTCAAGTTCCAGTAATAACATCCACACACGGCATAGAATTAAAAACAGAAACATCATCCACACATAGCCTAAAATGAAAAACAGACATCCGCTCATATCTACCAGACGATCAGATTTGGAATCCCATTCAAGTGCCATGATTTCTGCCCCACAATAGATAGTGGCATTTCTTGATGTTGACGCCGATGATTCATATGTCCATATCCTTCACCAAAATGAAAGGGACTAACAATGAAATTATGATCAGACAATTACAAGGATATTTGCCAAACTTTCTTGTATTGTATCAGTTTACACTTCAAATGCATATATAATACATTAAGAGGCTATGTTGAGCCAACATCATCTTTTCAGTGTCTTAATTACCAACTAAGGTCATCAGTTGCATTTCTTTAACAGTTAAGCATTCTTTAATAAAGATGGGAATCCCTCTAACAAGCACCAAAATAGAGGATCCATATTAATGGAAAGTATAAAGTCCAAATGTCACATTCTTATGAAAAGCATGCATTGAGTAACAACTTAAAACACAAACCTAACAGTCCCATCCACAGAAGCGCTGGCAATGTTGTCCCCAGATGCAGAAAAGCGGCACTGTGTGATCGGACTTGTGTGGCCAAGGAATGTCTCCTACAATATAATATTAGATTTCAGAAGCAACATTTACTAATTTTAAATTATAGTGAGAAAACATAAAAAGAGAAGAGAATGAGGGAAGAAAATAATATATTATATGCGGAATTGAAATAAACCCGAAATTTGAAAGACAAAAAAACAAGGTGTTGTTCACCAAACCAATTAAAAATGAAACAAGAAAAAAATCAAATGCTAACAAGAGGTCCAAAGCATCATTTTTCCTCTTAAACAATTCACCTGAAAGTCTACTCTCACTTCTGGGAATTCTTCCTCTCTCTGCATTTGACTGCCAGAGTCTGTTATGAAGCTATTGGTTTGTTATGCGGCTTAAAAATAAGAGGCAAAAAAAATATTTTATGTGGAGAAACTAAAATATGTATTCAGATTAATTTGTGAATTGTTGTGTGACTGAAGTGCATTCAAAGCTAAATTTGCAAAGATGATGAGCTCGACATGAACTAAGCAATGACATCATGAATTCATGAAATCATGACGACTTAAGTGGTCAAAGTGATGTCACGGGTTAGAAGTCCTAGGATTTAAGATATTCTTAACCTCCCCCACAAATTGGAGCATAAAAATTGTTCAATCCAAGCTTGTTACAAGTTACAAATATATTCAAATATAGGACCTCTAAGAGACTTGGTGTAAATGTCATCACCTAACTTATCATCAGAAGTCTCAACAACAACAACAATCAACACATTAAAATCCCATGAACGGGGTCTATAGAGGGTAGGTGTATGCAAACCTTACCCCTACCTAAAAAGGTAGATGAGCACTTTCCGATAGACCCCGGAATAAACACGGAATCATAAACTTTATAAAAATACAGCCAGTCATATTTGAGGTGAAACACAGGATTTCGAGCAATAAATAGAGTTGCTTGATTATCAAATATCAAAGGTTATCTGTGGTGCACTGGTATATTGTAAGTTTGTAACTCTTGAAGTAAATGCACTAGGCCTTCAAAGTTCAAACATATATTCACGCATAGCAAGTGCTATAGCACAATGCTCGGCTGCTGCACTAGAGCGGGTAACTTCTGTGTTCTTACCTTTCCAAGATATTAAGTTTTCGGCTAGAGAGAGGTCAAAGAACATCTGATATGAAACAAATTGAGTGTTATTTATCTTCATAGAGAGAACCTTGTCAGTGTGTCTTGTTCAGTTGTTCATGTACTGTAGTGTTGGGAACACAGAATCTGATAAGATCTGCATCACTTATAGCAGAATGCCACAGCAGAAATTTTAATCATATTACTCCATACTGTCTAATTGAGTTTGTTGTTCTAATGAAATCACTAGTTGAGTTTGTTGTTTTAAGGAAATCACTAGTCATTAAATAAAAGGACTCTTAGGTTATTAGGAGTCCTAAAGCCATATGTTAACCTAGCTTGTTACTCCCTCTATCCCGCAATAATATTCCACATTTTCTTTTTCATCTGTCCCAAAAAAGGCTTTGCTTTCCACTTTTAGAAAAGTTTTTGTAGCTATTAATATTTCTCTCCTCTGCACCACTTTCAATCATACAATTTCACTTTTCTTAACCTTCGTGTCCGATCAATTGTGGAACATTGTTGCAGGACGGAGGAAGTATGATTTTGTTATTTTGACCTTATCAGTTTCTTTGTACAGAGTTGTTATAAATATCCCAGCCTCTCTATTTCTCAGATTTCCAGAAAATAAAATAAAGTATTGTTCAATGACATTGAGATTCTCTTGGCTTCTATTCCTTTTCATCAGTGAGATTCTTATTGAGAGAAGGGAAGGAGAGGTCTATTTAGTTTTCATTTAGATCCTGAATTAATTCTAACAGGTTTCTATCAGAATGCCAATGAGTGATGGATGGAGAATCTACAAATTCTCCAAGTACACTAACCACGCATGATGATACATTTTGTGTGAAGACTGATGACATAGGTAGTGTAACAACAAGAACAGCAACAAATCCAATGTAATCCCAAAAGTGGGGTCTGGGCAGAGTAGAATGTACACAAACTGTTTCAGGGTGGACCTGTTTTCGATAGACCCTCCGCTCAAAAGAGAACAAAGGAATAAAACCAAAGTAAGGTTTTGTCCCCGGTGAACCTGAAACTAGCCAAGTCATGTCTAATCACCTCCCCTAGTTTAGAGAAATATTTTTTTGCATTACCACTACACAATATATGAATGGTTTTGTGAAATTAGGTTTGTAATTTAGCACATATGTTTTGAAAACATTAAACAATACTGATCACTCCTTCATAGGGAAGACCTGCATACATCCAGAATAGTCATCAACAAAAAGAACATGGAAGCAACATCGTGTTGCAGAAGTGACATGAAACATGAAATGGGTCCCACACACCAGTATGAACTAAATTGGATGGAGATTCAGCCTGAGTAGTGACAATTCTAGGAAAAAATTGACGGAATCGCATGTCAAGATGTCATGATGAACACTCTACAAACTCAAGTGTAGGAAAACCTAGAGCCGCATGTTGTAGTTTAGATACCCTGGGATGTACTGATCAGTTGTCTGCGAACGTAAGAGATTCCATGGATACAACAAGTGGGAAAATACCTAAGATAACTACAGTACTACACCATCAAGGGAGGAGGAATCCAATGGATTAGAGGGTGAGATGATATATAGGAAAGCGAAAAAGAAGAGGTTTGAGGATTTTGACTTGATGTTGCTGGTTTCTCAGCAACACAACGTTCTGTTTCCAGAGACGGGAGAAAAGTCAAAATATGCCTGAAGAAAATGGCATTTATGGTAGAGATGAATAACCAGAAAGGGTATACCAAAAAAGTTGAAGAGAAATTTGGCCGGAAAATGGTGGTCTTCAAACATGATAGACTTAGTTGATGGCATAGTTTAGAAAGTCTTAAGAAGTTACAAATTTCTACAGTAATCTTAAAAGGTGAATATATGATAGATTTAGTTGATTGAAAATGTATGGTTTATATAGTTGATTGATTGCAAAGTGTAAAGTTTGAAATGTGACCAATTCATCTCAATCCAAAGTCAACTTTTGTCACTTACATAACGTTTAAATCTTGGGAAACCAAAAGATATGTTTATCATCTAGATTGACAGCACTGTCCTCACCTTGAACATTTGTTAACAAATCCCTCCTCTCACTCTTGCTCACACAAGACTTTTGAGAACAGGTAGCTCCTTGATCATCAATGTAATGAGAGGATTCTCTCTTCCCAACATCAGAAGTTGTAGGGTTACAATCATCAGATAATCTAGGTGAAGACACAGTTTGCTCATGACTACCTTCTTTTATGTTTGATGAGCTGTTCATTCAAAAGCTTAGTAACAGTAAAAGGAAGAAATTGATTCTGACATTAAAAGAGAAAAAAGTTGGTGGTCTTGAAATTCTACAAAAAACAATCATAGGATCTCTCACCTCCTTGCTTGACGTAGCTGAACCTCTTTCTCCTCTAACAAGGCCTGAAGTTGTGAAACTTTGAGATTAAGTTGCTTAATGTCTCCCTTGAGACGATTCACAGCGTTATGTTCAGAACTGATCTTCAGTAATGCAGGGATGCGTAACTTGACTAAGGACAAATTCAAAGACAAAAACTGAGGTAGCTGGTAAAAAGTAAAGTTGAGAGCATTCAGGTTTTCATAACTAGTTGTCAGTAATCTACTAATCTCATGATTGGAGGCCAGACTCCAAGATTACAATGGAGCTGCTCTGGAATATGAGTAAACTGACAACGGGTCACCAGGGAAAGGGCAGACTCTCTTTAAAGAACTAATGCTCAAATTAGCATAGCTGATAGCATTGTTGTTGACAATAAGAGGTACTAAATATAAAGCACAATGAAGACAATAAAAATCAATGCTCAAGGATATGACTAATGTGAAGCATCTTGCTAAGAAAATTCCTGACAGATAGTTGTAAGGCATCGATCCACTCCTTAGAAAAGTAGAAACGAAATTCAGGATCCGCCTGAGGATTCTTATGATATGGGATGGCTGCACAAGTAATAAGAATTGCTAAAAGATAGGCAGAAACCACCAAAGGCACAATACGAAGAAAGACAAATAGAACCGACCAAACCACAATGCCCAATCTTGGTGTTTTTGCAGTAACTCGCTACCATGGCTATCAAAAAATTCAATCACTTTCTCCTTCTTCCCAGTTTGTAAGGCATGGATGATATAATAACGCATAATAGAGACTTCCATTTTCGATAAAGTAGACATTAGTTCAGCCTCGTATGACCCGAAACATTGTTTGAAAAAGTGGAGCAGATTCACCAAGTTCTCAGCTTGAAAATTTGGAATGTAAACTGAAAATATCAAGTCTAATAGCATATCAACTTGGAACCCTTTCCCAATATCGCTGCCTAGCTCTTTCTCATATGCCTGCAGAGTGTTTGTAAACCCTCTGAATACAAGAAACTCTCTGACTAACTCCTCCGCGTACTGCAAATTCTCCATCTTCGCCTCCAAAAACTTACAAACAAAGCTTCCATTGAGTATCGCACGGTTGTGGTCTGCGTGTTCCCATGTATGCTACTCCTGAGTCAGATCATGTTTTAAAGATGTTTCTCCAATGGCTCATTATCTGTCGAACCGTTAGACTTTCTAACAAAAAACCCGCACGCTCCTGTTATCGTTTCTCCCAAGGGATAACACTTGTTGTAATCACTACAGTACCATCAGCATCTATACAAGAAATTTTTATACTCCGTAATAAACAGAGCAGATCAGTTTAATCTTATCGAGAAATCTAGGGATTAGATATGCTGACACACTAATCAGCATTCTTTGTTCTTCCCAGAGTACTCCTATTATTTACCTATTTACCGGTGACGCGAGTTTTGTCGAAATAATTCCAAATCCTTATATTTTCAAGAAGACAACTGAGGTCCTTATATTTTGTTGTAATGACTTGGAGAAAACATTTCATCCAATATTTCATCCATAAGTGTTAATAAATGTATATTTTTCCTATTTTTCCATTACCGTTTTTTCCTATTTTGCCATTACTCAGTTTTTTCTTTTTTAGAAAAATATTTTATTTCATTTATTTTAATATAATACAAACAATTTTGAACTTTTATCCGATTTTATAGAAGAAATTCTAAAATAACACTTTAAAAAAGAGTAACAAAAAAAAAGAAAAATAAAAAAATAAAAAAAAGAGCGACCTAAGATTTATTACCTTAAAATATTTAGAAAAAAAGGAAAAAAATACATTTATTTATATTTATTGATGAAATATTGGGTGGAATGTCCCCTCCCAGTCATTACAACAAAATGTAAGGACCTCCGTTATCTTCTTGAAAATAGAGGGACCCGAGTGTTATTTCGACAAAACTTGCGTCACCGGTGAGTAATTTTCTGTTGTTCTTTCATCGCCCCTCGGGCAAATTTTACTTTAGCTCTCCCCTTTTAACCATAAACGCATATTAATCGGATCGGATGTATCATTACCGAATTAGAAATCATCTTAAATAGGACTAAAACATAGAGAAAAGTATCAAAATAGGACTTTCATTTTTTTTTCCGGAATAGGACTTTGCACTGTGGTAATGTGACTTTGCATTGTGGTAATGTGGCAGTGTACATGTGCAAATTACTATACTTTTTTGGTAATGTATATGACCATGTTTGGTAATGTAGTCCTATTTCGGGAATAAAAACATGAAAGTCCTATTTTGGTATATTTTCAATGTTTTGGTCCTAGTTTGGTCTTTCTCCCTTACCGAATCCGTATCCGTTTATTTTTGTCGGATATCGATTTCGGATACGGATCTTGACGGATACTGAAAATCAAAACCATATCCGCATCCGTCGGATATCGGATATATCTGTATCTGTTTCCAATTTTTACAATCAAATTAAACAATACTTTAATTTTAAATTAGATTAATGTCAAACTATTTTTAAATCAACTATAATTTGTTATGAGATTCTTATTTTCTTTGTTTTCATTATTTATGATATTCTACGATAACTTCATATGATAAAAAGATATACATACCACACATATACGCATATTTTTATATGTCCGCACATATTTTTATGTGTCTACACATTTATTTTGTATATAAAAATGTCTTATACTTTGAAATATCAATAGAGAAACAAAATATAAACATAAAAAAATTATGAAAAACTATATATAACGGATTGGATATTCGGATAAACGGTTATCTAAACGAATGCATATTCGGATCGGATTTTAAACGGATCGGATATACAATTACCAAATCCGTATCCGTTTAGTAATCGGATATCCTTAATCGGGTATGGATAATATCTGCTTAAAACGGATGCGGATATTTCCTCTTTAAACGGATACGGATGCGGACGGTAATCGGATTTTCGGCTATCCGTTGATAGCCCTACTTTTAACTTATTACTTAGAGAATTTTTTTTGTCTAAAACAGAAATAGATTTAAATATAATTATATTTACATCAGACCAAGTGTAGGGAACTAGCCCTAAGCCCACTATTTTTTTTGAAGTCTTAGCTTTATCACAGTAAGTTATTGAAAATAAAGCGGTTATAGAATGAACATATTACGGCTAAGAATAAACACTACAATTAAAAGTAAAAATTTTGTTGAGTTAAAATGAACATTCGCCAGGTGTACCGAACTTTACGATAGCCAGGTGTACGATATACATTCTCGATAGGAAGGTGTGGTACGTTTCCCTCCTAAATACCTATACCATACATCCAGATGTATATGGTGTTACCCGTACATCTGCATTAATACTCATTTTTGAGTTACTGAATACTCATTTACGAGCATAACTAAAGTTTAGAATTATGAGTATTCAGTTACTCGTAAATAAGTAATCATTTGCTCATAATTTGGACTCGCTGCAAACGTATAAGATACACTGTGCAAAACTTATTTCTTTCTACTGACTCATGCTTCATCAACCTAGGCTCCATTCCGTTCAACTTATTTTTTCTGATCGGATCTGATTTTAATAAGTTCTGATCTGATCTGATCTGATTAATTATGATTTAATTTAAAATTTCAAATCAATAATTTGATTTGACTTTATAATAACGTTTGAAAATTGTAATGATAATTCATATTATAATATAATCAATATTTTTTATTTAATGATTATTTTTTAATAAAATAAAAATAGTTAATTCATATATTAGAATAATCATTCATATTATAATGTACTCCCTCCGTCCGGAAATATTCTTCCCATTTGACTTTTCTTGGTCAAAGTTTTTAAACTTTGACTATGATATATGGAAAAAATACATTGTATCACGATATAACTTTAATTTGAATATGTTCCTTTTGATATATAGTTTTCAAATATCAAATTTTTACAAAATATATCTGTGTATAAATAAAGATATTAGTGGCCAAAGTGCAATCTTGGAGACCGTAAAAAGTCAAATGGGAAGAAAATTTCCGGACGGAGGGAGTAATAATATTTTTTATTTTATGATTATTTTTTGTGAAATTAGAATATTAATTTAATATTTTAATAATTACTTCATATATACATTAGAAGAAATATTTAATTTAGATATACATTAAAAAGTAATTAAATTTAGATAATCAATATATAGAAGAGATAGTATTTTTATTAAAATATCTCATCCTTATAAAAGATCAAAACGTTAGAAAATCAAATTACAAGTAGCAATAAAAATATATTTTAAAAGTAGAATTAGATGACATTGTCATTTTTAACAACAACAACAACAACAACAACAACAACAACAACAATAATAATAATAATAATAATAATAATAATTCTTGATGGGATCTGATTTTAAGAAGTCCTGATCTGATCTGATCTGATTGGATCTGATTTGGTTTGATCTGATCTGATCTAATTTTAATAAGAATAAGAAAAAATAAGAAAAAATAAGTTGCACAGAACGGGGCCTTGTTTGACAAATTCTATTAAAAAGTAACGGTGGTCCCTAAGGTCTTTTTCTTTCAAAGAGAATTAGTATCAATGAATTAATCAAGGTGGAATTGTTTTCAAAAGGTGTAGTACCTTCAAAAACAATATGCAATCTCAATCTATATAATCAAGCATCAATGTTTGTAGAACCATAATATTTTCGTTAGTTTGATCCTAGACCCCATTATACTAAAATTTATTTTATTTAAGTTAGTGCTACCAAAACAAGTTCTACCTTATTTATTTAAGTACTCCGTACAAACGGATTTATTTGGTGATTAACAACTCTTTCTATAGCAAATAAATGTGTTTATTCACTATTCACAGGGAAACTTTATTTATTTTCTTTCTCTATTTTCTTTACTCATTTGATAAAGTAATATAGTCATGTCACCTCTTATTTTGTAAAATTTTTATGTAGTTTTTAAATATATATTTTTTATTTTTTAACTCTATTCCAATTTTGAAATAAATTGTATTGAAAATAATTTCAGTCAAACATCGTAAACTGACACTTAGAATTTAAATTAAGATGGATAGAGTAATGTTTTTTGAGACTAAACTAACTCATAAAAGAAATGGGGGAGGAAGAAAGTCTCCCTAACTAGTGTTTACCTATGTCAATTACTATATCCTGATTGTTAATGCTCCTACCATCTCCCGCAACACCACCAAAGGTGATTTAGGCCCCGTTCCGTTCAACTTATTTTTTCTGCTTTTTTCTTAATTTTATTAAAATCAGATCAGATCAGATCAGATCTAATCAGATCAGATCAGAACCAATCAGATCAGATCAGATCAGAACTTATTAAAATCAGATCAGATCAGAAAAAATAAGTTGAACGGAACGGAGCCTTAGAATGTTATGTGAGCTAGTTAGGCCCTGTTTGGTGAGTTTTGAAAATATGATAAGATATGTGTTTTGAAGATATAGATTTTGAAATGTGAGAGATAAGTGTTTGGGGAAAATATGAATAAAATCAATTATAACCCTTTCATGTTTGGTGAAACTTTGAAAAAAAAATGAAACAACTCACCATCCCTCACTAGTCGGGTTGTAAATGAATCGAATCGAAACGAATATCGTAATATTTGAATGTGTATTTCATTAATTTTTTTGAATACGAATCCGAATACGAATATGAAACGAATTAAAAATAAGATTTGTATTTGTATTTGATTAATATTCGAATAGTTATCGAATCCTAAACGAATATTTGAATAATCATACTCCGTAATTTATATGTTGATTTCGAATAATTTACTTACAAGATTTTTTATACCATATCTAAAAACATTAATACATTTGTGTCTTACACAAATTATATTTTATAAAATATAATTATTAAAAATCACATGCTTTAAATTCTTGTATAACGTTAATATGATGAAATCTTAATATTTTAAATGCAATTTATACTATACTAGTTTGCTTGACATGCTCTGTGTATATAAATATTACGTATGTTCGAATATTCGAATATGATCCGAATCGAATACATCTCTATTTGTATTTGTTTAATATTCAAATCAAAACTAATATTTGAATTTGTATTTGAATAACGCAAATTTGAATCATTATATTCGAATACGAATCATGAATCAAATTTAAAATTTTTGATTTGTTTACATCCCTACCCACATGTAGCGATGAAATAAAATTTAAAAACAAAAAAAAAAGAAACAGGATTGTAAATTGAAATTGGACCATGAAGATTGAACCTACGATTAGCAAT